TTTATTTGTCAATATGTTGTCAAAATCTGTCTTTATTTGTCTTTATTTGTCTAATGTATGTCTTTATTTGTCTTTATTTGTCTGTATTTGTTTTTATTTGTCTTTATTTGTCTTTATTTTGTCAAAATTTGTCAACATTTGGCTGAGCTGCCTCCAAAACCTATATAAATCTAAGTCCCCTATATCTAGGTCGCCGCAACCGGTCAATGAATTATATTATATTGTATTATATTATATTATATTATATTATATTATATTATATATATACACACACATTTATGTATGATATACATACTCTATGTGTATATAGGTACATATATATATATGTACACATTTATGTATATACTTATGCATATGCATGTTCTCGGGTCCCAGGTTCTTCCCCGCCTCACCCCACGTTCTTTGGGTTGGTGCTCCCGGATCCCCCAAACCTCAACAAGTGCTGACTGCCACGGGGACGGCATTCGTATGTTTTTTCGGCATGTGGGCATGGCAGGGCGACTGTAATGGCGTGGGAGATAGGGTTTGCGTCGGAGCACAACCCCCCATCCAAACGTTGGACGAGGCGACGGGTGTCGATGTCACGGTGTGCATGGCAATGGGGAGAACAGGGGACGCACCACCCGCAAGTGCGGGCGGGACCATACCATGGAGTGGAAGGGGGGCCGGGGTCACTGCAGATATACGCACACACTCTTGGCATAAATCGCTGTGCCTTTGTTTGTTTTACTCCTCCTGGCCTGAAGGACTAATGCAGTTCCTCATTGATGCGGGCTTCAAGTGCCCTACGCCAATTCAGGCTGAATGCGCAAGCTGGGCATGTCTACCGTCTGCAACAGATGCATTGCACGGCTCACCTGTCAGGCTTATACTTGGCCCGTACTCATGGACGGAAAGGACATCTATCAGCGGGTGAAATTTCGTGGTTTACTGTGGTAACCGGCGGTAAGGGAAAGAAGTCCTGTTGGGCAGGATGTTATCGGCGTGGCCAAGACCGGGAGCGGCAAGACTCTCGGATACCTTCTGCCAGGATACATCAAGGCTTGCTGATGTTACGAGCACCCTGTGTTCCACAAATGGATGATATCCTGTTTGCGGCAGGTGAAAAGGAACGAAGGTAAGACCTTCGACCCCAGCAGGGGTCCTGGCATGCTGATCATGGCACCAACACGCGAACTTTGCCAGCAGCCGCTATTCTGCAATTGTGCGTACGAACAGCCTTGCATTTTCGCAAGACGGCTCTTCTGATGGATCTGCTGCGCGTGAGGATCTTCGAAGAGAGCGAGCGCTTCGGCAAGCCAGCAAAAATTGATACTGCCTGCGTCTACGGAGGTGCTCCGAAAGGACCGAGCTGATTCAATAGCCACCAACAGCCCATTTTTTTTCCCACGAGGAACGGGTACAAGTATGCATAGAATAGAACGCGCCCAGCCACTCAGGCAGCTGGTTTGCTTTCGAAACACCACGCCCCGTGGAGCGCAGAATCCGCTGCGTGCGTTGGCATACTGGAAGGACAGCAAGTCCGTCAGCTACGGAATTGCCCCCACTGCGTGGTCGCCACACCCGGGCGTCTGAACGACTTCCTGCAAAGCCCCAGCCTCAGAGACCCCAGCCTGACATGGATCTCCACATTGTTCTGCATGCAAACCTATGCTTACGGAAATGTCCCGTTCTTTACAGTTCATAGTACATCTCTTGGATCATCACATCCGTGCTCAGATCGCGAGCTTTCGATCAACCAGTGCGAGTACCTAGTCTTGGACGAGGCGAGCACAGCAAGACCTGTGACGGGTTCGCGGCTTGCGCAGCATAGCCTACTCACGTGAGCTCTGCGACAGGCGGATCGGATGTTGGACATGGGCTTCGAGCCACAAATCAGGGAGCTCATCAACTATTTGCCAGGACAGAGGCAAACTGCTCTCTACACCGTGACTCGACTCACACCATGTCCGCTATGCAGCCGAGACGAACATGAGGCACCTGGGCCCTAGGCCCATTTTTCTTCATACGGTACTCCACCTGCTGCGCCTGCGTTACCAGCCGGTGTGCAACTACGATGGCCTGCAAAAAATAGTTTGCTCTCCCGTGAACGGTGACCAACACTGCATGCAGTTACGTTTGCATGTATGTCTCGGTCCCACAAGAGCCTGAGCTGTCATCTGCTACGCAGTCTATCCTGTCTACCTCTCCCTCTCACCCCCCCCTGTCTGCGTTTCACACATGCACCTTGTTGCGACGTTGTAGGCTGCTTTGCAAGTAGAAGGCAGCACATTTCTCCATCTTGAACGCGCAGCCATGCTGCCTGAGGCTACATGGCCTCGCGAAGTCAAGGAAATCGCTTCACGATTGACGAAGGATGCCACTCACATTCAAGTGGGCCGCTTGACAGAATCCCGTCTTGGAGCTCGTTTTTGCTTTGAAAAATTCTGCTTCCCAAATCTGAAGTCAGCCGAAGTCCGCTGTGAGTTTTGCCGTAGGCGTGATGATGTTGTGCCGCCTCGACTTGGGCACACACAAAGGTTCCGAAGACTCGGCATCAGCAAATGCCGACATTACGCAGCATATCGTGAGAGTCTTCAACGAGAAGGACAAAATGCGCTTGGGCCGTGATATTCCAGCAACCAGTGCCAACCAGCCGATTCTATCCGAATTTGGCTCTACTGTAGGCGCTTCCTCGAGGGTACGATCTTCCCAGAGCTGCAGCGAACAGGCGGGAGCATCGAGAAGCTCAGCCGGGTTTGTCCACGAGCCAGCAACTGCAAGTGAGGGCAGATCATGCGAGGGTAATGCGCGGTGATGCACTTTTGGATTGGAAGTTGTCGAATAGCAACTTTTCGAGGTGAAGGTGCGCTTTGCCAAGTCATGTGACCAGTCATAACGATGACACGGCTGAGCATGCTAGCGAGTCCCATGCAGCAAAGAACAGGCAGACTCTTGATGTGCCTGCGGCATCGGAGCACTCTGCACAAGCACTGCGAAGTGCTCAGCATGCTTCAGATTTCAGGCGGATCTGGCCTGATCTTCGTGAAGACGAAGAAAGCAGCCTCGGGATTGTATCGTCTCCTGGAATGCACTCGGAGATTTTGGGCAGCGAGCGTGAGCAAACTGGGCTCCCTCTGATGTCCACATGCACTTCGCATTCGCGTGCAACTGCCCAGATGAGCTCTCGCGCGTTGGAGCGCCCATCGTTTGCCTTCATGGTGATATGGACCGAAGTGTCAGCTGGAGACTTGTGACCGAACGTCCTGCCAGCAGAGAATGGCCGTGAGGACCAGTCCGGGCGCGATCATGCACTACAAGCCTTCAAGACTGGCATGGCAAAGGTCCCTGTGCATGCTGTGAATCGAGAGGAGGGTGGATGTCCAGACCGAACTAGCATCACTCGGCGCAATGAGTCGAGTTACGACCTTGACAGGTTTTGGTTGCAACTGACGTGGCCCAGCGAGGTGGCGTGTCTGAATCAGCGAGATGAGTTCCTGATAGCCAGAGATTGGGTAAGGCCTGGACATCAAGAATGTCGCGTTTGTTGTGAATTACGATGCGCCTTCGAACTTGGAGGCCCCGTTCCTTATGGATGTTGGATGAAACTGAGGGTATGGTCTCGTGAGTGAAGACAGGACTACGTGCACCGAATCGGAAGAACCGGTCGAGCAGGTGAGAAGGGAGATGCCTACACTTGCCGCTTGGCAAGGTAACGGCATGCTTGGATGACCTGGACAGGAACATGCCTTGACCGGCGTAGTTTCCAAGAGCTGAGGCTTGTACGACTCAGACAGTGGAATCGCCAACCAGATTAAGAAAGTTTTCCAGAAACTGGGCGGCATCAGGCAGCGATGCTCCCTCAAGCCCATGATGAGTACTGGTCTGATGAACTTGTACTGAATTGTGGCAAGCTCCCGACAAAGGAAGACAGGCCAGCAAATCCCGCGTGACCTCGTGGAGATTGCAAGTGGGGGAGGCGCAGTCCAACCAAAATGCTCTCTCATTATTTCTGGTCTCTTCTTTGTATCATTCTGAGGTGGCATCGCTCAAGGATGGGGCCGCGGCGGTGGCGGTGGCGGCGGTGGGCCTGTCCTGAATGGCCAGTGGGGTGGCAAGTACGCGCAGAATGGAGGAGGAGGCGGATATGGCGGCGGCGGCGGCTGGTAAGCAAGGGGCGTGTCCCCAGAAAATATGCCCCGCACTCTTTGGACATAATGCAGATCTCGTGACGCATAACATCCGCATAATATAACAGAAACACAAAAGCCATCTAGTGAATCTAGTGTCTTGCTTGCCGAGCAGCAAGCCAACGAGGGGCCGCACGCCCATCCTGGGCAAAGCCCGCAAGGGTTGCAAGAAGAGACTCACACGGAGTCCTTATCGAACCCTTTTCGCGCCTGAATATCAGTCACACACTAATACAGCTTGAGAACTTGGTAACTCTACGATGTAATCATGTGAAGCCTTTGGTGAAGAATGCGTAGTCTCACCAATCACAGACGAGAAGGCGCAGGGAAAATACGAGCTGGCAAACTCTTCCATTCAACTATAGACTACCAGGGAAGGGAAGAGTGGGACTCCGACCGACTGTTGGCAGATCTGGACTGACTACGTTCTGTGGGCACAGCGCTGGCCGTCGGCTGAGAAGGCAGCTCCATCGCCAGGGCAGGTTTATGCAATCAGCAGAGTCTGTTGAGAGTCTCCTTGGTGCAGCCAACAGGTGGTGCTCCTGCGCCGTGCCGTGCGCAGTTGCTCTCCCAGTGCTGATGTCGGAGCCATGTTCTCTAGGCCTCCCCGCCTTCACCTTGCCTGTCTCGCAACAAGAGTTGCAAGATCGTAATCGCAATCGAAAATCACGTGAAGTCATACTGTACTCGTACAAGCAATGTTACATAAAAGGCCATATCATGACTATCTCCTTTATGGCTGCTCTGCCTCCAGGGCTCAAGGACATGTAACATGGCGTGACCGCGCCGAGTCGCCAAGCAGCAGCAAGACAGCGAGCCCTATAAAAGTACGACGACACGATGCAACATGGACCGTCGCAATGTAGCATATGCGCATAGGTACTCGTATGATATTTCAAGATGAAGATAGTAGATATCTACAGTAAATCGCGGGTGTGTATGTTCATGATTAATGTTAAACTCCCAGTTGTTGACCGAAGAACACATAGTCACAGGGCTCCGGGCGATGTTTTCATTGACGAAGCTCTACATGTCAAAGAACTTGCAGAAGGCACTCTAACGCTTTGCAACAACTCCACAACTCTAGTTCAGGCCGCGATTTGTTACACTTGAGCCCGTAGTATTATCATCCGTTCTCTGGCGTCGCCATGATGAAGCTTTTCAAGAGAGACTATGGTTCGCACGAGTCGCTATCCAGTGATCCGGACTCCTGTCCTGAGGTTGGTACGGATTTCCGTTTCTTCTGTTCTTCGGAAGCGCTGCAGACGAAGGATTGCAGTCAGAATAGACTGGAACGGCCTTCTAACATTCCTTATTTCTAGTCGCCGCACATTTGTACCGGAGGCTTCTCCACCAGGCCATACTCGTAAGAGTCTTAAGACCCAAAAAAGAGATCAACCTGGACATCTCCTGCGCCATCCTGTGCCCTGGCCCATGGAAGACTTCTCTTGCAGCCACCCTGTGCAACTATGAGAGTCACCCCCCCCCCCCCAGAGGAGCAAGTCAAAGTCTGAAACCCTCTGGAGCCGGAGCCATGGTGGTCGCAGCCGTCAGAGAAATCCAGATTCAGAATCCCTGTCAGTTGGCGAAACCATTAGCCCCCACCGAATCTCACAAAGTTCGATACTCGATGCAGTGCTTTGCAGCTGAGGACCTGGAGGATGCTATGAAAGACCCAGAATCCGCCATCTTTGACAGCACAGCCTCACGAGATCCGGCGAAGCTAGGATTTCGTGGGGACTTCATCCTGTGCATCTTGGCGGTATTTGCCTCTTACCTTTTTGCCCGTGCAGGTGCGGCCCCATGATTAAGTCTCGAGCGGCATGATGTCACAATGCCTGAGGCATGATTGTCATCCTATTGTTCTCTGGACTTGTCGTCGGGCTTTGGTCGGAAATGGGGTGCGGCTCTGTCTGCCTGCACTTCCTGCAGAGACATTTCGCCGTTGTTTTCATCTGTGCTGCCGGATCTGCCGTGATACTGGTGCTGCTGTACTTGCTAGACTTTTTTATGCCTCCGCATCTTCCTGGCGAGTTTTTGGTTCTTTATTCTGGAGATTCATGGCTAGGGCGCGGGCTGCTCACTGCTGCGGTGGCTCAGATCCTTGTGGGTATCCTTTTCCTTGCAGACAGGTTTCCAACGGCTCCGCTGGTTTTGACAATATTTCTGTGTCCGACCGGTCTGATCTTGGTGCGCCAGCTCACGAAGCCGAAGCCTCGTTTCCACTTGGATGCGAAAGGCACTGCTTCCCAAGAGCAAAACCTCAAGGCTCGGCTTCGCATGCTGAAGATGGTCACTGGTGAGGAGAAAGAGCAGCGGATCTTCTACAAAGCAGCCGCCATTGCCTTTTTTGTGACTGCCTTGGTGTGTATAATTGTTTGGATCCCTTGGGCTGTGACCACCTCCGTTCGCTTTGACGTCAGCACAGATCCCGTCGAGAGAGAGATGAACTTCGTGCGTTGGGCCACGCCGCTCATCGTTGGCATTTGCAACCTCATCTTTGCTAGCTTTGCTGCTCTACGCGTGGCCCTGGACAAAACCTATCAAGGGACGGATCACAATCGTGCGCAGATCATCCTCAGCTCGCGCAGTCACATGAATCGCGAGCTGATGGATTTCCGGATCGCGAAGCTGCGAGTCCAGCTCGCTTCAGAGGACGCTGATGTGGGAACACAGTTGCAGCGGACCCGCGACCGTGCACAGCAGCATCTAAGCCTAGATTCAGTTGAAGATTGTTTTTTGTATCTCTTTGTGGCAGAAGGGTCGCTGCGCTATGCTGCTGCAGGTATTTGATCCAGCACACTGCTCACATGAGGCGACAGCTTGTGGCCAAGATTGGCCACGTGGGGTCTGTTATGTCTGTTTGACGTAGAGCGTAATTCGGGTGTCCTTGGAGTTATTCCGTCGGTTACGATCCTTAGTGCAGGCAGTTGTCCAACATCGTTCAGACAGTTGGCTGTGGGTTCATCGCACTGCTGGGAGCCCTGTTCATTGCCTTTCAGCTTTGGGCTGCTGACAGCCACATCGCAGACATGGCCGGAAAGGGACGGTGACCATGTCAATGCTTTTTCCATGCTAGGGGAAGCCATCTCGGTTTGTGCTCTGCATCGCAGTGACACTCGGCTCCTCCCTGAACAGGTCCAGTGCTTCCTGGCGTTCTTTTTCTTGACATTTCTTGCCTTCATCTGCCTGTCCTTCAACCGGATCTGGCAAGCCATGAGCGCATGGCTGCAGGTACATGGGTCAGAAGGGGCTCCCATGTTCCGGTATCCCTCTTCGGTATTTGCGGTCTTGAGGCTCTTTTCGTCTTGCTCTCGGGTTGCGACTTGCAGGAATGTAAGCCCATCCTCAATTTCTGCATGCATGTGCCGGGTGCAGCAGGGAGCCCTTCATTCCTAGTAGTGGAGGCGCTTTGGGAAATTGGAGTCGCGGGACCTGCAGTCTGTTCCACCAGGATTTGCCCATGTGGAAGTCGATGTTGGGCATTTGCGAATCCAGCTGGGCCCGTGCTGGATTTCTGGTTCTGATGCTGCCGCTGCTGCCGCTTGTGCCGCGGCAGTCAAAGAGCGATGGAGGTTGTGAAAGCTAAGCTTGCTGGGAGCATTGACCGGTGAAATTGCTTTCGTCTCACAGCGGGCAGAGGGTGAAGATACGGGTTCGCGACACCCTGCTTGTAGGGCTCGCCTTAGGTAGAGCAGCCACAGACCGGCTCAACAAGGAACAGAGGGGTTGATTTCACCGCCGTGTCACTGTATCCTGGCCTCTGACAATGTGCCAGGTGCTGGCCATGTCAGCTGTGAACCAGGCGGTGCGATCCCTGCGGGGCCTCCATCCTGGCGGCAGATGCTTGACAGAGCGAATACAGGCTCCGAATCGTGACAGGGGAATACCAATGACACGACTCCTGAGAACTTCCCATGGGCTTACGGACTGTCAGAGTGTGTCCAGATGTTCAGAAACGGGCGATGTGTTGTATCACTGCTTCGGACATATCCTCGAGACGCGACATTTCGCCTAGTGCAGGGGCAGAGCCGGCGAAAGGACACTGCTTCAGAACCGGAATGGTTGGAAGAAATCGATCTGAATGCCAGACCACTTGAAACTCCGCGATTGCGTCTGAGTTGCAGGCGGTCTTTGCGCAAATGGCACGATGGGAGTGGGTTTCCATTGCCTCCTGGGCTTACGTCATGGCTGTAATCCTGATCTTGCTCCTTGGATTGTTTGACGTTGTCATTCATTGAAGGTGAGGATCTCTCATGAATACAGGCTCTGGAGGCAACCTGCCCCAAGGTACAAGATCATCCCGATCTTTCTGAATGTGCTGCTGGCCTGGCTCAAGTCTTTCGTGACCAACCTCCCATTCCTGGGCATCCTCGGCTTCACCTTTGGGGCTGGCATGTTCCTATTCATGCTGCCCCCGGTGCCTCAGATGCAGTCGGCACTCTCAACCGTCTCAACCAAAGAAGACGGGCAGCGATGGAGCGCAAGCAAGACACGCTTGAAAACAATCCTTGTACGAGCGTCAGGTTCCAGGACCGCCAATCTACCTTTTCGGAGGCCTTGTCATCTCCGGCCGCAGTCCCTATGGCTTCTGGTGGGGCTGTGCAACTGGGCTGCATCACAGGGAGCGAGCCACGCGGGTGGCAGCATTGCAGAGTCGCTGGCAGGTAAAATTTTGCGTGTGCATTTTGCAGGTCATCTGCATTCTCCTCTGCGTCGTGCTTAAGCTTGCTGCTTGTGCCATCCAGCAGAAGATCATTGGACAAATGCTGGGAAGTCGCCAGTCCATTCGCCGCATGGTTGGTACCTGGCTTGGCAGCATGATATTTCGATTGTGCTCTCACAAGAAAACGATTCCTCGACAACCCATTGACAGCAGCTGCTACGTAGCGTGTCTGGCATCGAGGCATTCACCGCCCATTCATGCGGGCGATCGAATCTATCCTCCGAAGGCCTGGTTTCAACTTCGGGAAGTGCATGATTCTCTGTAACCCGTCCGCAGAAGTGAAGCTAGTGGCACAAGCAAGGCGGACCACGACGCATGTTTCAAGCAAGCTGCTGTTGACACCCGAAGCTCCCCCGGCACCGACCCCGACTGAAATCCAACTGATGTGTCCAGTTTGATTGATGCCTAGTGCACGGTAGATGGACAGAGGGCTGACATGCGGAGACTTGCAGCTAAGGCGGTGGTCCAGATTGGCCGACGTCAGTGTCCCTTGCATTGCAGCAATAGGCCTTTGACTAGGCGAGGTAAGCGTGGAATCTCGGACTGGATGTCAGCCCAGGCTGGCAGGAATCATGCGTATCTCCCTAATCCAATGCACTATCGGCACACTGCCAGTGTCTGGTCAGCACTTTCTGGCGTGCAGCTAGCTGGTGGGTCTTTGCTTTGTGCTGCCGCCGTGTTGCCAGGTGATCTTCTCTACGATTCCGTTGGCCCTGACTGGCAGCTTCTATCTGAAACGGGACGAGAGCGAAGTCTGGGCGAGGGCCGGCAATTTGATGTTCTCGCTGACGGCCCTGGTCTCTGTGACTTTCTGGGCGGGGATGGGCTGGGCGATCCAGGATGCATTCGACAAGCTGAACGATCAGATCCATGCCCCGAAGGTGGAGTTTGTGGAGTTGGATTGGTTGGATTACTGTGAGGACCGCATCAAGGAGAAATGTCAGCTGAAGGCCGGGGACCTCCCGGCTTTGGTGCGATTCTGCCATTTCGGCGGTGCCCTGCTGATGGTCTTCGTGGCACAGGTTTTCTTCTGGAGGGCTGGCATGTGCTTTGGCACCTTCAAAGTCACCGATGACCTGGAGGGCTTGAAGTGGTGGCCGTGGAGTGAAGGTTCCGGAAAGCCAATGATAAACCAATATGGCCTAAGTGGCCTTTTCTTGATACTTGTTTCTTTTGTGCTGCTGTTCCTCTCGCGTGCCTGGCGGGGCCGTCACAATTCTCAGACGCGGGAACACGTCATGAAGGAGCTTCGTGGAGAAGAGGAAGCGTGGAAGCAGCGAAGGACAGAGGAGGCTGAGAATTGGGTACCGCCGAGAAGTGTTAGTGGATCGCCAATCATTCGGAGTGCCTTGGCCAAGCCAATGCCCGACTCGGACAGTGTGGTGAATGTGGTGGCTGCAGCGTTAGAGGGTGCAGAGTTTGCAGATGAGAAAGCGCTGACGAAGCTTGGATTGGAGGATCTGGATCAGCCAATGGAAACCGAGACACAAGTTCCCGACGATGAGTCCTCATCCTTGCCTCAGAAGCCCGCCATGACCGCCATCACTCCAGGTGCAACGGTATTCGGTCGGCCTCCCGTGGAAAGCGATGACAGCTCGACTGATCCTGTGACGAGCCCACCACGCACATCAATCAGGCTTTAATTAGCTACATCTACAGTAGCCTTGGAGTAGTTCCCACCTCTTTACATTGCACAGAGTCTCACGATGTATCACTTGCAATCATGCGCAGAGTGGTCACAGGACACTTCTCTGGCTGTAAGGGACAGAGGGAGTGCCCGGCTCCGTTAACAGTTCTGTGTTATGGTACTACTTACGCCAGAAGACTTATGAGACAGAAGCCGTTGTCCGCGTGGTAAGTCATGTTTTGGGCCCCAGGCTGGCAGATGTAAGGCACCAATGGCAGGAAAGTTTTTTACAGCTCAAGGCAGAAGGTCCTGGGCAGACTTCGGGTCAAGACCCTGTGAATCAAGGGCAGCACTAGGCCTTCGTCCATGTAACGCCTTCTCGAAGTCTGCCCAGGCTCAAGCCTGTCCGGTGCCCAGAGAGAGCCCTCTCCCGCGCGCAATTCGACTCTCCAACAGAGTCCGAAAGTTAGACTAGGTTCGGCACAGCCAAGAGCAGTCTGCATCGATTCTGGCTGCACCGAGCCCGCAAGCCCAACAGAGTATTCGTCCGTAGAATGCTCCCTTGGTGGCCACAGTCGGTGCGGCTTTCGAGGGGGATGCCGAGCACTCGGTGAGGCCGAAGTGGAAAATCAGAGCGCAAGCCCAGTTGAAGCTGATGCAAGTGCTGCAAATTCGGCACATAGCTCCCGGTTGTCTCGAAGCTTCAGGTCTCTCCGTAGAGAAGCTCTACAACCAGGCGCCTCTAGTATCCGATGTGTGCAGTTGCGTCTTTCTCCAACTGCTGCCATTTCACCGCCTTGTCGAAGCTTTGCGCAGTTTCTTAACTTGCAGCAGTAGGGACTGGCAGAGTCAGATCATGAGTCACGAAATGTTGAGCCTTGGCGTGGCGGTGCTTCGTCCATCCCTGAGCTTAGCCGAAATCTCGTCAGGACATACGCCTCCTGCGCTTGTGGGTTCGTGTCTCAGTCTCGAGCCGGTTCAAGACATGTTCGTGTGCTTGTCGCATCCGGACGCTGGATCTGCATCAGGGCTGCTTAAAAAAGCTTGAATGTAAACTGATCCAGATGCTGCTGCTGCCGCTGCTGCAGCTGCGAGTCTTGCGCCGATGAGAGTGCGGGCAGAGTGTCTGTAACATGCAGCAGGTCATGTTGGCTGACAAAGAGTCTTCTCCGACGAACATCTTCAGGCAGCTCGAGGCCTTGAAGATGCCAACAGCCGCTGCCCCCAAGTCGTTGTTTGCGCCTTTTTGTGCTGACGTCTCCTGACATCTGGAGAAATGACAGGATCGAGGCATTGGCACACACCACGCTCTTCTTTACGAAGCTTGGGCCCACTGCCTCGAGACGCCGGCGCCCAAGTTTCTGCCACAATAAGGCCCTTTGCCTAGGCGGCAAAAGCTTGATTCAGATCTTGCCGCCGAGGCGCCGCGACTTCGAAGCAGCGGCGGAGGTGCCATGGGCCCCAGTCGAACCCCTGCCGCCACAGGCAGTCAGCCCAGATATTACAGGCACCACCCCTTTGCATGATTTTGCATGCATGTGTTTGCGGCGGCTTCGTGATGTTGCTCCGGTGTATTTGCTGACAGCTTCTAGCCGATTCTGCTGTGCGCTCCCCGTGATGCTACTCGGATACAGAGTTCTGTCAGAGGCAGCAGAAAGGCAGACTGAGACAATCAGATAGCTGGCGATGACTCCAAACTTGAGGGGAAGGAGGCTTGTATCTGTGAAGCCCGTTTTCGCGAGCCGTTGCCTGACATCTGCCCACCAGCTTCCGACTGATGCATCAACACGGGGTTGTCGTCAGAGTGTCCATGGACGAAATGGGGCGCAGGCCAGGAGTCTCTGTCGCAAACGAGCAATCGAAGAGCAGGAAGATCAGGCTGAAGACCATTGAAGACCCGAAATTAGAGTGCATACTGTAGCAGCATATCAACAAGCCTTGTTTGAGGCAAGGCAGGTTGGAAGCAGACCCCAACGAAAAAAGAAATAACCTAGCAAGCTGCCACAGAGCTTTGTTGATCCAGAGCAACCCGCTCCATTCTGCACTGAGGTATCGTCGAGGACTACGCTCTTCGGCCGAACCGCAGGTCGAAAGAGAGACTTTGTTCCCCAGAGCCCATGATACAAAACTGCAGCAAAATGATAATCACATCTCGTGTGTCTGCGCTGTGTGTGTGTGTGTTGACTAGCGCTCTTATGCAAAGCCGCCAGCTTGTCAACCGTGTCATGTACGGAGTTCAGTGTGTAGTTTTCACCCGCGCTGCTCTTCAGCATTCGCATTCTCCGGTTATCTTAACAGTTGCAGGCACGCTTGCGGGCTCGGCGGGCAGACTTTGATGCAGGGGGCCTGATTCTTCTTTCCACGATTTCTCCAATGTGTTAGGCACCACTCTGCGACTGCGATGTGGCTGGCTCAGGAGCGCATGCGCCAGCGCGTCACACGTTTGGCAGCTCGAAGATCCGAACCCGGACGGCTGGCACCGCAAAGCCCAAGGCCCCACCCTGTATGCATGGAAATCATACTCAAAGCTGGAGCCCCGACCAGACGTGCTTAAGATGCTCACGCTTGAACTTGAAGCGAGGTCAGTATGCAGTTGTGACCGAACATTGTCATGGCTCACACACATCTACAGATTGACCTGTGTACAGTATGTATGTATGTATGTATGTATGTATGTATGTGCATGTCATGTATGTACGCAGGTACGTATGTATGTACATATGCAGATAGGTGGGTGCGTACGTGTGTATGTAGCATGCATGCATGTTGCTTGTGTGCCCGTTCGTTGGTATATGTTCGCTCCTGTCCCCGCTCAGTAATAGTCGGATACTAGTTTCCTTATAATAAGACACCCATATATAAAAGCACAACTGCTTTTGAACAAACAAGTTGGTCGGGGCCCTTCTTCTAAACTCTTCTGAGGGAACTCTCTTGAGGGAATGCAAAATTACAACACCTCCCCAGCCAAACAGCGCCACCCAACTTAACCCAATCCAGCCAGCCCCCACAAACAGCAGACTCCAATCCAGCCAACCCCAGCCAACCAGCCCCAAACCCCAATGCCTACTTTGGTTGCCTCCAGCCCCCTCGATGCTTCAGTGCAGGGCAAACAAGTACATCTTTCATTGTGCATGAGCAGGCCACACGAATTTACATGAATTCATAATTGCATGTCTGGCACAACGTTGCAGGTGTGTCCCACCAACTGCATGCCATGTGTGAATTCACACAGCAGCATGCCACGAGGAATTTGTTGAAGTGCATGTATGCATGACATGAATAACTACTTTTGGCGTGGAGTCGGATGGGTTGTTTTGTTGCTTCTCTTTTATTTGTAGTTGTTCGGGTTGCTCTTGGGTGATTAATAGTACCTGTCGACTCTGCTTGCATGCATGTAACATGGAAGTGGCCAAGTAAGCTCATGCCGTTGGGCCCCCATCGTACAGTCCTTCCTTGGCGCGTTTTTCAAACTCACACCAAAGGGGGCCCGGAGACTGTATCAGCTCGGATGACTGCACGTACTTTCGCTCTTTGCCGGTCATCGCAGCAAAAGCAGTCCACTGAATGAGTGTGGATCCCGACCTAAAGCCCCAAGCCAAGCAAAGCCCCAAGCCAAGCCAAGCCAAGCCTGTAGAAAGCTCTTGACAAGCTTTTACACCGCAGCCACCCCCCGATGCAAGCAAAGGTTTGCCAGTATCACCAGCGGGTTGGGCAGTTGTGAACATTGCAGGCCTGAGTGAGAGAGGAGAGTGAGAGATGAGTGCAGGTGAGCGTGAGTTCAGGCATCGCCTTAGCCGCTGACAACAAGCCTTACCCCATCCTGTGTGGTCGCTTGCCTGCCCTGCCTGCTCGTGCCAATGTGGAGTGCGAATCCAACAACTGCACCCTCCCTACCCGATGTTGTAACAACCACTAGCCCTCGCTTGTGAAGCCATGGAAATATCTCACCTGCGATGAAAAATCACCAGCGACGACAAATAGACGCAGAACTGGAGCCAGAACTGGTGCCTGGCAAGTGGTGTGCACTGGCAGTACTGTCGGACACGTGTGCAGTATTGTGGTAGAATAGTGGGGTGACTGGCAACTCTGTCTGCCACATGGGCTGGATGGTGGCAGCGCCATATGTCCATCCTTTGTGCTGGATGGGAATGATGCCTATGCTCACCGCAGGAGAGAGCCGGACAGTGACAAGCTGGTTACTGCATGACACCATGGGAGCGAGAATTCAGGACGTAGATGCAGCCACATCATGACACGTGCATGAGGGCATGACAAAATGGAGAGACCACGGCAGCCCCGTTGCTGGCTTTCAAAGGACATGTTGGACACGTCACTGCACTATGACCTGCTGTTTGGTACTCACTGCATGAGTTTGTGACCTGCCCTTCGGTATACACTGCATGAGTTTATATTCGCCGCGTGCTGCGATGTTGCGATATTGACTTTGCAGCCCGGCTACAGGACAGCTGCATGGTATGAGATCATTCTCAAAGAGCAGGGAATTCACTACAGCAAGTTGGAGGGGCGAGCCCCGTCGACACAGAAATGACGAATTTATCTGCATGACTGCATGTATGGCATAGCCCATTTTGGGACAGAGATGACTGCATGGGAATTCCTGGAATCTGCAAATGGTATACATGCATGTGAATTCTGCAAAGTATGGATGAATCAAAGCGATGCCAGCTGACGATTGAGCCTTCTTGACCGTTTTGAAACAGCAGTCTTAGACAGTTGTGGTTTGTTGCAGTGAATGAGCTGCACAGACAGGGAACAAGACGGGCAGGACTGATGTGCCTTTGCTTTAGACCTGTAGGTTGGGTTGTGGTTGTACGTTGGTCATTGCCTGCCAAGTTCCGGTAGCCGGTAGCAGTCTGGGACGGAACCTGCCATGCCTGCGTGTGCGCGAGTGCGTGAGTCGAAACCCCAAACCAGCCACACAAATCCAGCCGCCCCCCCCATCTCCAGCCAGCCCCAGCCCCAGCCCCAATCCAGCCAGCCCCCCCAACCCAGCAC